TCTTTCTCTCGGTGTTTTTTTATTTGCTCTTCTTTTTCTTTGCATTATATTGGGTGTTTCTTCAAAAACCTTAAAACTAAGGGAAAGGACGTGAAAGAGAGAATTGTGCAAGGGAGAGCACCAAATGCTCAGTCTGTGATGAGCGAGATCGGTGAATGAGAGACACCGAGAGAATGAGTTATTGGGAATCAGAAAATGAACGCTGGAACGGGATAACAATATACATGAAATTCGAATCTAGGGTTGCCGAAAAAGGGGAAATCGAACAAGGTATAAGAAACTATCTTGGTCTGCAGTGGTTGTTTGAATTATGAGATTTTATGTTTGTCTTGCTTTGTAATTTCTTTCTGTGGGATTTCTTGTAGAAGTACTGAATATATATACACCTTTCGGATAAATGGAAGTAAGGGGTATATATATATATTGAGTTCTAATTTTTGAGGTTACAAAATAAGAATTTAGTAATTTTGGCGGATATGTATGTTTTTGTTTGGTGTGTAAATGTCTGGAAGTTTAAATGTAGTTATATCAATGTTTGGAGGATTGGGTACTGTTAGAGGATAAATTTAAAGTAGGAAATATGTCATGGTGTGAATTAAGCTTGGAAGGAGAACTGGAGATATAAATAGGTGTATAAAGGAGTTGAAGAGAAAATGTAAGTCTGGATGTTTATGGATGTTTTATTTACCGAGGTATCATGAATGTTTGGGATTGTGTTTAGAGCTTGGAATCAAATATGAGTGAATGTTTATGTTTGGTATGATGTATATGCGTTAACTTGCATTCTTTTCTTCAGAGTACTTTACCTTAGCTGAGATATACATTTTGTATAATCAGTGTAATGTTTAAATTTTGTTGACAGGGAGTATAATGTTATAACTCTAAGAATTTTTGTAATGCGTTTTCTTTCTTAGTTTCAACATGATGTTACAATGTGGAGGAGATAACTAAATGCTTATATAATGTTGATTTTTGTGATTCAAGTACTAATTAACCTGGTCATGACTAGCAGAATAAATCAGAATGAATTGTCATGAGTAATATATGTACTTGCACCTGGTTGATGGAATTTTAAATGGAAATTGCTTGTTGGTTTAGTCTCAGTACATGCTAATTAATGTTTCAATAGTTATGAGTTGATGAATTATGGTTATGACATTCATGAGAGTGTGGTAAAATTTGAATTAAACATTATATTGAATTTGTTTACGGCTGTGTACATTGTTTGGAAGAATTGAGTCAAGTTTCGACTATCATATTGCATAAATTATTGTCTCTGGTTTGCTAAAAAAAAAAAAAGAGAGTATAAAACTGTTTGCTGTTTGCTGAAATTAGTATAAAACTGCATGTTGTTTATGCTGTTACAGCATTAGGAATTCTTGCTGTATTAGGCTGTTTTGATTGTTGTTACTACATCAAAAATTTCACTGCTTTAACACATAAATACTGCAGAAAATTATTGGTGTTTTATACTAAAACTCTGCAGAAAACTTTGCTATTTTGTTGTAAAATCTGTATAAAAATGTGTCACGGTTTGTCCAGGTTTAGAGAATTATATAGAGGTAGCAGTGGATGTACATGTTTAAGATCTTAGATATATTTTAGAAGCTCACGCAGGAAATATAAGGTCACAGTATTTTCTTTTGTAAATTAGTGATAATAATTTGGTGTAGAAATATATTTTATTATATTGATTAGTTAAATCTCCTTTAATTAGATAATGTATAGTATGAGTATATATATATATATATATATATATATATATATATTCATACATTAGGTTATTATATATTATAATTATTTTGTTATATTTAAAGTGCAGTAAACTTTTGTACTAGAATATTGAATATATATATGTTAGATAGTTCGTAATAAGTTTTTTTTTTTTCTTTGGAGTTATTAGTATGTTAAATTAAAGTATTGATTACATTGCTGCAAAATTAATTATATTTAGATGATTGAACGTGTGAATATACCAAGAGTTTTAAACTAAAACTATGCACTACCACACCTTGTGAATTAAATATAATAAAGTGATTTCGACAAGAGTAAATTGGAAATTTAGAATACATGTTTAATTTGATTAAGTCCTTGAATTGTAAAATATATTATGAAATTTGATTAGTTAGTTGTTGAAATAATGAATGGGATATGATGTGTTGGATTGCATTAGGTGAAGTACTATAAGTTGATATGATTGAATGTAAATTTTGGAATGGATGTAATGTTTGGTTGATAATATTGAATGATTGATGTGTGTTGTAGTGAATGTAATGAATGGTTGGATGTTGTCCATATTACTTTGATATATTGTTATTTAAGTAACATTGAGTATACTTCTTTATAGTGAGTTCAGATGGGATAGGAAATATTCTAGGTTATTAGAAGGAATCTCTGAGGGTGTTGATACCCGAGGTTAGGATCTTCCTTAGGGAGCACTCTTTCGACTGTATTGAGACAATAAGAGTGGGTTGTATTATTCAACCACCTGATAGGGGTATGGTTTTGTGTTTTTGACTCTGATACCCGAGGTTAGGATCTTCCTTTGGGAGCACTCTTTCGACTATATTGAGACAGTAAGAGTGGGTTGTATTATTCAACCACCTAATAGGGGTATGGTTTTGTGTTTTTGACTCGGATACCCGAGGTTAGGATCTTCCTTTGGGAGCACTCTTTATTGAGACAGTAAGAGTGGGTTGTATTATTCAACCACCTGATAGGGGTATGGTTTTGTGTTTTTGACTCTGATACCCGAGGTTAGGATCTTCCTTTGGGAGCACTCTTTCGACTATATTGAGACAGTAAGAGTGGGTTGTATTATTCAACCACCTAATAGGGGTATGGTTTTGTGTTTTTGACTCGGATACCCGAGGTTAGGATCTTCCTTTGGGAGCACTCTTTATTGAGACAGTAAGAGTGGGTTGTATTATTCAACCACCTGATAGGGGTATGGTTTTGTGTTTTTGACTCTGATACCCGAGGTTAGGATCTTCCTTTGGGAGCACTCTTTCGACTATATTGAGACAGTAAGAGTGGGTTGTATTATTCAACCACCTAATAGGGGTATGGTTTTGTGTTTTTGACTCGGATACCCGAGGTTAGGATCTTCCTTTGGGAGCACTCTTTATTGAGACAGTAAGAGTGGGTTGTATTATTCAACCACCTGATAGGGGTATGGTTTTGTGTTTTTGACTCTGATACCCGAGGTTAGGATCTTCCTTTGGGAGCACTCTTTCGACTATATTGAGACCGTAAGAGTGGGTTGTATTATTCAATCACTTGATAGGGGTATGGGTTGATAACTGTTACTCTAATGGAAGTAATGTATCATGAGGGAAAGATGAGAAAAATAATCTATTTGTTATCGTAGTCGAATCGCAAATTGTTTGAAAGTGGATGATATTATATTTTTGGAGTGATGGGTGTGTTTAGTTATACGTCACTTTATTTTATTTTACTTTAATTTACTTATTTATCTATTTATTTATTTATTTTTACTCACCCTTTTGTTTGTTTGCTTGTTTGTGTATTTGTGCAATGATCGCATAATTTATTTTATACGGGAGCGCAGATCGGGATGCAGATAATTCTGGAGATGCTGTTTGACGAGAGTGGGAATTTACAACTAGGGATATTTTTTTGTTCTATTTAGTTTATGCAAAAGATTAAAGAATTGTGTCAAACTAATTAATCTTAAATTGGAATCGTTTAAAGATGATTTTAATATATCTAATAATGTAATTTACTTTATTGGATTTCATGTTATATGTCGAAATTCTTAATTTATAATATGTTTAATGATTTTCATATCAGAGATATGACAGATTTTTCATATTGATGCAAAATTTTTAAATTTTGCCGCATTGTTGTAACATCAAATTTTAGGGGTCTTACATTTGTGGTATCAGAGCCTGAATTACGAAAATTTTGGGAATTTTGGAGAGTGAGATCGTTTAGTGTGGTTGGATAACTTGAATGTTCTAATGTTTCAGTATTTTTAGTTGTGTAAACATGTTGCCTTGTTGGAACGTTGACTTCAGTGGTTGTGTGAAGGAGGGGTGAGGATATGTAAGGCTCGCCTTTATCTCTGACTTGTGATACATGTGTGAGTGAACATGTATATGTCTATTACTTGTAGTTTACATGAGATACAGATTTGAGATTTAGTTTAACACTAAATATCTAGGTAAATGATTGCAATTGATTATAGATCATGTGTTGGGGTTGGTTATGTCACGTAACTAAGGTTCTATGTTCATATGGTTTACATAGGTAATCTTATTATGTTGTTTCTGTTCCGAATTGATGAGATAAATATGAGATAGGTAGTAAATAGTAAAATGTGATGGTATATATGTTTCTTTTGTTTCGTACTCTTTTCTGTGCTTCGCACAATATGAAAATGTTAATTGGATGTATTATTTGCTGCTATTAGTGGTATGACTAATGATATACATGTATTTAGTTGATAAATTATGTGCCTTATTGATGATTATGGCCTATATTGTTCGATCCTTTTGAAATTTTGTAAGGATGACTTTAGATATGAAAATTTATCTAATAACTTGTGAGGTTACTTGAAATTAATAATCTTAATATGCTAGTTGTTTCCTTATAGTTTAAGTTTGAGTTTGATTTGTTGTTATGTATTGACAGAAGAGTATACAAATGAGAGAAGAGTATACAAATGAGAGTTAATTTCAAGTAATCTCAAGTTCATTATTGAAAATAATTGAGCATTTGATCAATAGTATATGATCTGACATATAATGTATAAGTCAATAAAGTCGTTGGAAATTACCAATTTTTATTATGATTATAATGATTATTATTATTATTATAATGATTATTATTATTATTATTATTATTATTATTATGATTATTATTATGATTATTATTATTATTATGATTATTATTATTATTATTATTATTATTATGATTATTATTATTATGATTATTATTATTATTATGATTATTATTATTATTATTATTATTATTATGATTATTATTATTATTATGATTATTGTAAGGGCCTAAAATCTTAGGGCAGTTGGGTTTTATGTTGAGGCAGCCATACCCATAAGGCTAAGGGCACTAAGATCTTAGGAGGGACTTTTCAAAAATTTGAGTTCCTTGTTTCAGCTTTTTCACTCTCTCTCTAAAACTCAGACTCACTTTTCTCTCTGTCTTCTCTCTACCATTCCCTCATATTCTCTCGTTGCATGTTGGTTGAGGTGCTGCCCAAGCATCCGCGACGTAGAGAGCTCCATTTCTACCGAACGTTTTCTTCATTCCGACTGGTAAGTCGTTTTCCTTTCTCCTCCACTGTTTTTGGAACCTAGGGCATGCCACTTTATTGGTTGCATGCAGCTGGTAGCTTGTCCTTTTGTTTTCTCTGTCCATCCCAGCTCTAAGAGCGGTTTCCATCACATTTTTGGTGGTTGTAGGGCACTGTTTAAGTCCTTGCTGTGAGGTACGGTTAGAGCATTCTAGAAGATTGTATTGCTCAACTCCAAGGTAAGGGGAGTTTCCTCGTTTACTTGGGGATTTACAACCGTGAATATTACTTCAGATTTTAGTTGGTTTACATAAAAGATTAAAGAATTATACTAGATTCATTATTATCGAGTTGGAATTGTTTAAGGACTATTTCAAGGTTTATATAATTTTTTTACGTGAATTATGTTATATATTAAAATTCTTAATGTTTAATATATTAATTGATTTTCATATTTGAGACATGACAGATTTTACCTATTGATGCAAAATTTTTAAATTTTGTCGTATTTTTGTAACATCCAAGTTTTTAGGCTCATTATACAATGAGCATAGTAATTTTCAATAAAAAAAATTAACAACTAACCACCTTATTATTAATTAGGGGTACTTTATAAAATTGGAGGTACTGCATAGGGAAATGCTGCAGGGTGAAACACCCAGAAAATAGAGAGCAGAGAAGGAGAGAAAGGCGGGTTCAGTTGGTTGAGGTCGTCACCACCGCGAAGTACCATGTGGAGGTTAAGGTCACCTCGAATCTCTCATCTCGTGAGTCTCTCTTTCTCTCTTTATCCCGTCGCTTTTTGTAATCGCCTCCATTTTCATTAGCGTGACTTCATTCATCAGGTTGGTAGATTGAGTCAAATTAACGTAGTAAGTGATGTGAAGGTGCAACAGTATCGTTGCTGTCAAACTCTAGTGTTGCCTCCTCCATCGAGTTTGCAACAGGTTTGTATCTGTTCATTGTTCGTAGTTTGTTACCGCACATGCTATATAAATCCAATCAACTTCCCTCCCTCGCAGACAAAATATGATCCTCCTGACACCGTAGTACCGAGGAGTTATATTGGGGAAAACGTATCCAGAAAAGATAAGACCAAATATCTTTACTCTACGGTAAGTATATAATCATGATAATAGATTTATGTGTCTTGCTCCATATTTAGATGTTGGTGTTTTAAGGTTCAAACCAGGTGAGTGACACTGAATTATGTTTTTTTAATAATAATAATGCAGCTTCTTGAACTCAACGACAGTAAGGATGCTGTTTATGGTGCTCTTGATGCATGGGTTGCGTGGGAGCAAAACTTCCCCATCGCCTCATTGAAAAAAATATTGAATTCCCTTGAGAAGGAACAACAGTGGCATAGGGTTGTGCAGGTAGCACTACTATCTACTTTGTCTTCTTTTATGCATTATCTTTGTCAATATGAGCTGTGTCTAATAGTGGTTCAAGTTTCCCATCTTATATCTGACCAATTAATCTTCGTGAAACAGTCGTTTTAGCTTATGAGAAAACTATAGTTCATCTACCATTTTATTTTATTTTCTTCTATAAGTCTTTACTGAAAAGTTTTGTCCAAAAAAAGACCTATGTGCATGCCTTTCTTTTCTTGTGATTCTGTGTTGAAATATAAAAAAGATATGACTGACAACTGTATTTATTAATTGAAAGCTTCAGTTACATATATAGCAGTATAAAATAACTGCTGGACTTAAATCAAGGATAAAGAAATGGTAACTGATATATTCACTACTGGAATTCCTAAAAACGTGCATGCACTATCAAATCCCACATAAATAGGACTTGATTTATTTAAAACAGAAAATTACTAAATAAATTCCAACATTCTGTTGGTTGTTTGGTGCTTAAAAAAATGACTAGCATGCTATGAAATTATGAATTTTGTAAAGTTCACTTAATATTTACATAACCAGTAATTTCTTTGTGCTTGTAGACGATTTTTGTTGTCTGATTCTTTAAGTATTCAATTTATCCATTTGTTGCTTTCTTTCTTTTGTCGATAAAGTTATGACTTTATGTGGTTTATTTGATTTTGGTGTGATCTGTAAGCATGTCAGTTTAGGATTTTTTGTGAATTTTGAGTCAAAAAAAGATGTCATTTTAGTTTACCTCAGTAGTACTATTAGTAAATTACTCAGGTTGTTTAATATCCTATCCAAGGTAATTAAATGGATGCTGAGCAAAGGGCAGGGGATGACAATGGGAACGTATGGTCAATTGATACGAGCTTTAGATATGGACCAAAGAGTGGAAGAAGCCCACAAATTCTGGGAAATGAAAATTGGTTCTGATTTGCATTCAGTTCCTTGGCAAGTATGTCATGTCATGATATCTGTATATTACCGAAACAACATGCTGGAAGATCTTGTTAAGGTAAGATTTCATTATTTATGACATTTCTTATGTTTCCAATTAGTGATATGTCATTTGTATAATTTTTTCAATGTGTTTCTTCGCTTGGCTGTGTGATAGTTCTGAACATTCTTTTGCCGAAATGGAATTGGAAATTTTGGCTTTTGATTGATTCCATTCCGATGGTGTTGATTAATATATGTAGCTGACCTCAGAACAAATCTGGGTTGTTGTTGTATGCTAATATTAATCTGCAATGTGTTCCCTTCTAAAATGTCCACAATTTTGGTGTATTCTGTACTTGATTTTTTTTATGGGATAAATCTCTCAGTAGCAAGTACCAAGAGAGACAAATGATTTTCATTCATTGAAAAGGGTTATTATCTTTAAATAATGAGAACTTAAATAATTCATAATCATCATTTGCAGTGTACATACAATTTTAGTTTCTGATCTTCATTTGGAGTTTTATGTGTTGCATTGTACTTCCCATTTTTTTCTTCAAAACGTTAACCGGTAGAATCTGGACTGAAATTATGAAGCGTAACTTATTTATATTAGTTTTGGTGGATTGAGGTTGTCAGCTTTGCATATTGTAGTAAGATCAGAGATATTGTCTGCATCCTGTTCGACAGTTACATATAACTTGTAGTTAAATAACTAACAGTTAACATTCTCTTCATTTTCCTTTGCTTATGAAAAGCTTTTCAAGGGGCTGGAAGCTTTTGATCGAAAACCGCGGGACAGATGTATCATACAAAAAGTGGCAAATGCATATGAGATGTTAGGCTTAGTTAAAGAGAAAGAGAATATACTGGCAAAATATAGCCATCTCTTCACAGAGGAAGGACCAACTAAACCGCATAGAAGGAACTCATTTGAGTCAAAGAAAGGTATGCATCTTACCTCAGACAAACCACGTCAAAGGCAATCTAGAAATACTTCGTCTGAGGAGAAATAGAAGTCAGATGTTATTCTTTCACATCGATAAAATTGTTCGGTTAAGGTTAAAACAGTGCAAGACCAAAGTTTTCAGAGTTCAGCTGCACTCCTACGTAAAAACTCGTTTCAGAAGAAATGCCTTTAGTTATTCCTGCCCATCCGTTGGATATTCTGAAGAAGCTGTTTGGTTTTTTGACTGATGCGATTCTGCTAATTCTGTCGCTGGAAAAACAAAAAGATTCCTAGCTGGATATTACATATCATGGGTACTATTTTCTGATGACATGTTATCTTGGTAATGTAGCCCCATGTGTGGGAAGCCTATCAAAGATAGAAGTTCGCGTCACCTTGGGAAAACGGAACCAAACTTATCGTTGCACTAGATGTCAAAAGTTGTTCCATGTTATAAAATAGTTACTTCTTTTTGTTTGGATAGGTTAATTTAGGCAAAAGAAATGAGAAAAAGAAGTTGTTCCAAGTTTGGTGCACGGTTTATAGTTTAACTAGTAATGCATTCCAAGTTTGGTGCACGATTCATGGTGAATTTTTTTTATATCATGATAGCCCTGCTGCACATTTTTTGGCTATTGGTTTTTTCCAGTAACTAGTTTATGTGTCATGATACCTGGTTTCTTCAAAAATCAACTTAAGAGTGACAATATATTTGAGGTTTATGTGTCCTTATGTTTTGATCGCAATGTACAGCGTGTTTGATCTAATATCCAGATATATTCCCCTTATCAAATGCCTGACATTGGAATCCATAAAGGGTTTACTTATTGCAGTGATTTCTAGATTCCTGTTGATTCCAGCATTTTACTTCACAGCAAAATATGGTGACCAGGGATGGATGATTATGCTTGTGTTTCTTGGGACTAACCGATGGTTATCTCACTGTATGTGTATTTAGCAATTGTTGCATAAAATTGTTGTTTCTCTCTGTTTTTGTAGTTGTTTTTGGATCATAATTTTTTTTTCTCTACATAAAATTTGGTAAAAAGGAAGATTCATGAACTGGTTCTGATCCATAGGATTTCGAAAGTATTTAGTCTTGTGATCTTTTTTAATAAAAGATTTATTTGGTCTTAACTCATGTGGGCTTTGGGAGTAATTAATTATGTGATCTTTTCATGACTTAAAACCCGTTCAAATATTTGATAAAAATCCAAAACAACATAAATCAATAGCCAATTGAACAAATACAAATTTAAATCAAGTTTTTTTTTCTTTCAAAAGTTATAATGAACCAAAGTGGTTTTCTTAATTTAAAACCGAAAGGAAAACTTGGTGACTCGAGAAATCTTTTATCCACTTGCATATGCAACTAAAAAATCCTAAGCCATTATCAAAACAATTCCAATTAACTTTTGATCGAGGTATCAAGATTTCGTCTTAAACTCATTTATAGGTTCTTGAAAAGAGAAAAATTCAAACATAAGGATTGAAAGGAGAAAGTACGATAAATTTACAACCTCAACAACAAGCCAAGTAGCTCCAGAGAAGAAGGTCAAAAGATATCCTTCCATGTGCAAAATCTTGTTTTTGAGGAAGAGAAGGGAATTTGAAAAAAAAATGAGAAATGAAAAGTGATATCGTATAGTACAATCTTTTTCTTTTTCTGGAGAGGGGTCTGTGTTAAAATTTATAATTTTCTAACATTTTCAAGATTCCTTTTATTCATGCTGCTTTGTACATAACTAAGAAGCCCACTTACAAAGTCAAAACATCATGAAACTCGCGAAGACAAACAAAGCACTCGATCACAAAATTCCCAAACTATACTATATTGCATTATCTCTCTCTCAGTATAAAATAAAACCTCGGAAGACAGATTTCCTCTAACATACCTTTTTCTGATTTATTATTTGAGGTAGGTTTGATTAAAGTTATAAAAACTATAAGAATTTCAAGGAAATATAAATGTAAACCACCCTTACACATACTGTGGGCTTTAAGGGAACACGTAAAGAGTACACCCAAACATAAAAAAATGTATGATTTTTTAATCAAGATAATTTAATATCACATTCACTTACCAAAAAGGGAAAAATTCTTTAGACCCTATCCAATTGTTCATATTCATTTACATGTGCCTCCCTAAAATAAACACACGTGATAAACATAACCTAGGAAATTGCGAAGAACCACGATACCGGTAAACGGCCTCATAAAATCAGCATACGATGAAACTGGAAAGAGATGATGGTTTTGGCAACATGACAAAAAATGATGCTACAATGAAACACAAAGCAAGCATTTTTTTTTAACTCTGATATTTTTAAAATGATATTTGTTTCTAAAAGAATGGAGGATTAAAATAAAAATAAAGGGACATTATACTGTCTTTAAAACATAGTCAATATGTGATTTTTGTTACAATTACATACAACAAGTATTAAATAAAGAAGATTCTAACAATCAATTAGGATAATGAAATCTTTAAAAAGTTAACATTAGAATACCGTCTAAGAAAACATCCTCCCATTAAGTAATAGAAAACCCTCTATATATATATTTTATCATTGTGACGCTTGGGTTTGCAACACTCTTCACAATAGCACTCAAACTGCCACAAATCTTTTACATTCAATTAATATTATATTTTTTTTAATTATAAAAAATAACTTTTTTGATAAACACTTTATCTTTATATTATATGTCAAATAAATGTATTAGTGTATTATTATTATTATTTTTCTTTCATTTATAACCCTTAATAGTTTAATTTATATTTTAATTAAATAACTTAATTCATTTTTTTACTACTCATAACTAGTAGAACATGTCAAAAAGTGTAAGGTGTCCAAAAATAGTTTTTCTCCTTTTGCAGGAAACATAAATATTGCAATGTGATACAGGTTAACTTATAAATTTTTTATTCTAATTTTACAACTTATTTTACTAATTTTATTTTTGTCGTCTATAAATACAAAAATCACTTTTTAAATTAATATATTGCCCTTAAATTCATTGTCAAAAACATATTTCTTTTAATAATATTATTATTTATAGTTATTTTTAAGGTCTACTCCGATAGCTAGAAACAGGTCGTATTTTTACCATTCTTACAACAAACAAAATTAACCAAAAATTAAAATCAATGCCCAAAACAAATATTGAAATCATAACAAATAACTAAATCCTAAACCATAAGTCCTAACCAAAAATACACAAAATCAATAAATTTTTTTTAAAAAAAACTAAACATTAAACTATTAATAATAAATTTAAACTAAATCTAAAACAAAACTAATAATTAGAAAATTTTAAAAAATTAAAATATTATATATATATATATATATATATATATATATATATATAATTTCTAAACCATAACAAATAACTAAATCCTAACCAAGAACATCAAAAGTCAATAAATTACAAAATAAATTAACAAAACCATAAACCATTAAAAATAAATTAAAACTAAATTTAAAAATAATATATATATATATATATATATATA